TAGTAGTGGCAGTAGCGGCAGTAGCGCCAGTCCCAGTCCTTAGCATAGAAGCCACATGTCGTAGTCCAGAAGGAAGAAGCAGGCGGTCCCCCCTGTCATTTTGATGCATTTGGACTTTGCAGGCAAGAAAGCAACGGGTTTCGGCGGACCAGCCTTGCCAACCGCGCCAGGGGAAGACGCCCCTCCACAAGAGCGCATCCTTGCACCCTCCCAGCAGCCCCGCGGGCGCATCCATGAAGAAGTCTCAGTCCGCAGCCAGCTTGGAGAAGACGAGCACGGATCGACCCACCCCAAAGATGGTGTCGGTGACCTTGCACAAGCCTTCCATCTCTGCAACACGTGGACGTGACCCGCAAATCCCCAGACAGCACTCGGTCCCGGAGAACCTCCGCGAAGCAGCGGTGAGGCTCATGTCACCTCGACGCTGTCGCTCGAAGTCTCCGGATGGGGTGGCCTATTCTCCAGTGCTGGGCGAACGTAGCGAAAAGGTCGAGACTGGAAAGCATTTGGATAAGACGTTCGGCCTTCAATTGCTATCCCTGTGCACAGAGATCCCACGAGCAGCCAAGGACATGCCAGAGACTCACGAGGTGCGCCGTAGTAGCAGCCGACCCAGCCTGCAGCCCCGGCAAGGTACCTCGGCAGCAAGCAGGGTAGACATGGCCTTCTGTGGCTTATGCCGTATCTGCGATCACAACTTGCAATGCCCTCCTTCCTGAAGCATGACCGGCTCTCTAGTCGAGTCACAGTCAGTCACTTGGTGCAATATGTGTCTGAAAACGGCCAGCAGGCTGAAGCACGGGGCTTTTGTAATGAGAACATGCCTTCAGCTGTGTGTTGCATCTGCGCCGCAGCACAGCATATGCCAGAGCAACGGGCAAAAGCGTTTCTTGCGAGACACGACACATGGCAGCCGAAGTGGAGTTCAGCAGAGGCACCAGCCGACGCTTCTCCGCACTGAACCGACCTTCCAAGGCAGCGGGCTGACAGGGTGGGTTTGCTTTATAATTTAAGGAACTGCACAGGGCCTTCTCTGCGCCCACATGCAACTTTGTGCAGCGCTTCGGTTTCTGCCTTGTTTTTCGATGACACGGATTCAACGTCAGGCGTGCCACTGTACAAGTCCGGTGAGGCTAGTACGTTGCATTCAGTAGGTAGTTCACGGATGGGCTTGATGAGACCAGTAAATAGCCAAAAACTGAATGACCGGCTTTCCCCACAACGGCAGTAAAGAAGCAGGACATCACACGACTAGTCACTCTAGTTCGGAGGAGAGCTTGTTTGAAGCGAGGCTGGATGTTCGAACCCCCACTTGCAACCTGCGCCCGACCACACCGACGTGCTCGGGATGCGGAGGCAACAGAAGATCCGACGGAAACCTCAGCATCTTGCGTCATCCCAGAGTCTCAAAGCCCAAATTACGAAGCCCCGCTTCTCCGGAGACCTCAAGGCAGCTACGCTATGAGCACTAACTACATCCTGAACACACGGTTCCCGAAACCTGTTTGTGAACTGTAATCTCCTCCGAACTGCAGCTCACCATGTTCTTTGCCCGGCTCTTCCGAAGGCCGACCTCAGCTCAAATCCCGTGTCTTTGTCCGCCACACCAGTGCCTTTGCAGAGCTTCAGGGCTCAGGGCTGCTCGGAGCTTGCGGTGCTTTTGCCGGAGCCAGGATTTCCGATCGGAGGCTGTCCTTGTGCTTCTTGTCTCCGAAGCCTTAGGATGCTTGAAAGCCGTCAACCTTCAAACAGGAGCTTACGCTGAACCGCATCATATCAGGATGGCCCCTCAATCTGTAGCACAAGCAATGCTACCGCAAGAAGAGCCCCCAAAAGAAAGAAATTGTGATCGTGTCGCATTTGAGGCAGCCGAGTTAGTATCACCGTGGCAAAGACATCGTGATATGGAAGTATGTTAATACAACGAACTCTCAAATAGCTGGCCATTAAGTGCATCATTTAAGTAATCCGTACGCCTTCTTGCCTGCCTCCTCCGATGGAAGGTAACCACTCCATCGCAGAAGCGATTTGCACTTCATCGTTTTACCGAGGCGCAGAACCCTGGCGGATTTCCTTTTAAGAGTTTGTTGGAGATCAAGCCCTCCTCTTACACCCCATCAGCCCTACGGTGGACCTCGTAGAACGTCGAGTCCTTGGTTCATTTTGACTCACTGGACAAGTTCGAAACCCTCCCTCGCATCAATCCTGGAACGTGGATGCTAGACCTGAAATTGGCGAAACAGAAGTGCCTTGTCCAAGGAAGGACACCTTTGCCAAAGCGCTTGGCGAGATTCGGGCCGGCAGAAAGAGCAGCTGCTGGATGTGGCAGCTTTGACCATTTATGCTTGTGTCTGTGTACGGGCAGAGCTTTCCTCCTCTCTGTGCTTTGCGACTGATACAATCAAGCATATGCCCTATGCATATAGTATACTTTGTATACACACGGACATGTTCACAAGTTGCTAAGATTGGTTCATGACTGCAGCCATCCTGATCATCTCCACGAAGACGAAGAAATTCCACACCATGGGTGTTGATATTCATTTGCTCAAGTCTCTGGGTACCGCATGACATTCGGTCGGAGCTTAGACCACTAAGCGCTTTTGAAGTCTTCGATTATGGCCTTTATGGACCAAGTCCTTTAGCCAATCCTTTGTGTTGGATTGTTCCGCTCTTTTCTCATCGTTCGAAGGCCTTATTTGAGTCGCTGGTGTAAGACAGGTGCAAGAAGGCCAGCCCACAGCTCCCCAGCATCTCTTGCTGGGTTTGCATTTGATGGTGTTTTGGTCTATGTAGCAGGTCCTACACCAAACCGACAGCAAGGCAGCTGCTCCACCGAATCATGCCAATTCTGTGGACGTGGCAAGGCCTTCCATGTAGACGTAAGAGCATGGCATCGGAACGTGACACCGAAAGCAGGTTGGGTCAAACCACCTCAAGGCGTCAACCAAAAGAACGGCTGTGATGGCATGATGGCACTTCGTCCTAAATCCGACCAGGTTTGTGATACCGACGCCGCCCCATGTCGTGCACGGCGTGGAGAAGGGGAGCTCGGTGAACCGGAAGTTTGCCCTGAGGTGCGACCTCGGGGTTTCCACTACGACGATACCAAAGTTATTGCATGTTATTGCTACTTTGTTGGATGACTATAGTGCTGACTTGCATCAGCCTGTAGCAATATCCCGATGTGCTCAGAACTCCCACGATCCTCGGCCAGGCGTGGTACAGGTCCACACCACCTCAGGACATGTTGTGCGACAAGCGATTCCTTCCACATACACAGACTTGCACAGAAAAAAGACTTGCCATGTCATCCCCTGACTTCCCCTGCATCCTCAATTCATGGGCCCCTGAAGGTCGGATGAGGAGGCCCGCTCCGGTTCGGGTACTTTTCGTTCCCTCTTGGCATCGTAACTCCTCTGCTAGTCTGCTGGGCTATCCTGAGGAACTCTGCCGTGTGTAATGGTTTGAGTGACTTCGCGGGAACTGCCGGATCCTAATGTTGACGTTCAAAGCTATCTTTGCCTTCTGCCTTCTTGCTTTGTGTAGTGCGCAGTCTTTTCTGCACCCGCACTGGGGGCGACAGCGGCAGATTTCCTGTCCAACGGCAAGTTCTGAGAGAGCATGCGCGTGCCTGTGTTTGTGGGAGCTATCTGGTCCAGAACATTTTATGGTACGTGCCGAATCGCTATGCCCGGCCGGCCTTGCAAGCTTTTTTTCATGAGGCACGGGCATATTTGGCCTACGAGAACGATGGTGCACCTGGTCTGCATGTGAGCAGATGTCATGCCAGGAGAGGCCTTCGAAATGCATAGCAAGCCTGATCCACTGCTTGAGTGGCGGCTTGGTGTCACACATACAGCGGTCTTTGACCGTCTCGGTTGGTAGTTGTATCGTGAATGGGGACGTGGCGTGCGCAGTTACGATAATTTCGGTGTGCGTGGGGCAGGGGATGATTCTATATTCAAGGTCATAATTTGAAGTCCTGGCCCATACTTGTCGACAGTGTCATTCATTCTTAGTCTTTTCGCATATGCAACCACAAGAAAAGTCAGGCAGCTGTTGTTTTCTGTCCAGGTCAACTTGCGCCAGAACTATCTCGCCATGATGACCGCTGTGCGAGATCAACTGAAGGCTGGGAAAAGCGGCTTGGCTTCTCTTTGTTGGCTTAAGGATTCTCAAGTTTAGTCTCAGCGCCTATAGTTCAGGGCCCAGTGCGTGCAGTCCCTGCTCAAAACAAAGTGTCCGGGCCTTGATAGACGGCCTTTGTGTGCATGTGTAGGTGTTTCAGGCTCCAGTCCTCAAGATTCTTGCTGTGCAGCAAGCAAAAGCAAGAGCTCGCAAAACAATGGCACAGAGGCAAGCCAAGCAGGTGGCTGTCCAAAACCTTCACCACTCTTTCAGACTAGGGTTGCAAGTGTCGGCGTCACCAGTGACGGGTTTTTGGCCATGGTAAAGCACGGGCATGTTTTGGCAGCTAATTCATCTGTGGAGGTTGATCTCTGGTGAGTTTCCTTCGAAAGGCAGTCTTTGCCTCATGACAATATCTCCTGTATCAGCTTGACAATCCTTTGGTTTTTGCGCCTGAAACCTCGTAGGTTCAAGCCCATGCGATTTTGCGGAAAAGTCACAACAAAGCCTTTACATGTTCCCCCATTCCTTCGAACTGTAGCAAGTTCATTGCTGTTTTGGGTGCTGCTATCAGTGTACCATTTTACTCCGTGATGATCGTAGGAACATCGCTAAGCATGAAAATAGTGGTGCTGCGTGCAAGCATCTTCTGTAAGGACGGCCAGCAAACGACAGCATTGTATATGTAGAGCCCAGCCAGTCTGACCTTCCAGCCTCTTGCCTACTTCCGATGGCGATGTTGGCTTAAGCTGCACCGAATCGCTAAGCTAAGAGTAAGATGTATAAGTAACCCGTTAAACGGATGCTCGCTCAGGTGTTCCATCTCTGATGGGCCAGTTCGATGCTCCAAAGCTTGCTAGTTCAGTACGTTTGTTCGAGAAGCTCGGTCGAGACATTGTTGACTAAGATGCCCCTCGCCGTAGTTTTTGGATCGCATTTCTGATCTCGGTGGGTTCATCCGCACGGTCATGACCCGAACCTCCACCCTCAGCCTGGGACGTGGCAGTGTGCGAGATCATCCAGCCGAGGCGAGTCACTCGCGGAGGCGATGACCAGCTCCATAGCGTCCTGCAGGATTGCAGACGTAGACAGGTACAGGCCAAACAGCTCGGACATGGCTGCAGGATAGTAATCAGTTGTATGGTACTGCCAGTGTAAGTAGGGAGTACGCATGAATGGTCTCACTGCTTCTCGAGGTTCCTACACATTGACTGGACAAGCAAGCTGCAGCAGGAAGCCCACGACCGCAGAGCGCAAACTTGAATGGTTCATGGT